AGCTGCAGAATGTCACCTGAACCTAGCAATGTTTTGCAGGATGTGATTTAAATTGTCAACCTCATTAAAGTACATGCCCTTAACTCACATCTGTTTGTGCACTTCTGTGAGGAGATGGACTCTAAGCATATATGTATTCTTTAATACACAGAAGGGAGATGGCTTCCTAAAAGTAGGTCGCTGGTCAGATTTTGAGTTATGTGAGCCATGTAAGAGATTTCTTTCAGGTAAACAGTCCCTACTGGCAGTACACTTCAGTGACATAGAATGGGTTGCAAAACTTGCTTAACTCATGTGACATACTGAACATGCTTAACCAACTCAGTCTGTCACTACAGGGGAGAATGACAACTGTGTTCAAGTCAGCAGATAAACTGGTTGCACTCAAAGCTAAACTGAGGGTGATGAGTGAACACTGGGACTTCTGACATGTTTTAAATATTAGCAGAGATTTTTGAAGAGACTGAGCCAGGGCCTTCATTCTCCTAGCTGATACATGACCACTTATATCGGGATAGAAGAGGATTGATGGCTTCAGACTGCAAATGATAGTGACCTTAAAAATATGTTTGAGAAAACTTCATATCTCTGTGTATTCTGGATTACATTAAGTCAAGGTGGAATATCCTGAGGTTGCCACAAAAGTACTGAAAGTCCTGCTCCCATTTCCACCACCTAGTTGTAAAGCAGGTTTTTCTGCAACCAAAACAAGATTAGGGAATAGACTGAACCTAAGCAACACACTTCAGATGTCACCGTCTCCCATCACCCCCACCTAAGACCATCTACTTGCAGGAAAACACTCTCAGGGCTCCCACTGATTCTGCATTATGGTGAGGAATTTGTATAATTATTTCATTATATATGACAACATAATAATAGAAATGAAGTACACAATAAGTCTAATAAGCTTGAAACATCACAAAACCACCCTCTGCTCCCATCTAAACCAGTCTTTGGTACCAAAAATGTTGGGGACCACTGGCTTATAATGCTTTTAAGATTCATCTATGTTGTTGGGATATTCATAGTTTGCTCTTTCCTTTTTGTTGTTGTTTTTTGGTAGTTTTGACACAGCATTTTGCTATGCAGTTCAGGCTGGCCTTGAGCTCACTTTGTAGCCCAGGCTGGCCTCGAACTCACAACAATCCTCCTGCCTCAGCCTCCCGAGTGCTGGGATTACAGGTGTGTACCACCACATCTGGTGTTCTTTCTTACTGGCTAAGCAGCATTCTATTGTATGGATATACCATGATTTGTTTATTCATTGATTCACATTAGCTTGTTTCCAGTTTTCCAGCAACTATGAACAGAGCCACTATGAATACTTGGATGTAAAGTTTTGTGTGAACATCAATTTTCTTTTCTTCAGATAAATGCCTAGGAAGAGCGCCGCTGTATCATACAATAAATGTATGCTGACCTTCATAACAAAACACCAAATGCTGGTCAAAAAGGTTCTCCCATTTTATATTCCCATTAGCAACCTATTGGACCTTCTCCAAATCCTCACCAGCACTTAGCATTGATAGCACTTTGAAAATTTAGCCATTCCGAAGAATGTGTAGAATATCATTATGGTTTCACTTTGCATTTTCCTAACGAACACCAGAACTGAACACCTGATGTGTGTATCTGCCAGTCACAGGTACCGCTGTGGCTTGACTGTGCCTCCAAAGCTCATGAGTTGGAAGCCTAACCCACAGGCAACCTTGTTTAGAGGTGAGAACTTTGAGAGATGTGTGTTAGTTGGCTTTTCCTTGCTGTGACAAATACCTGAGGATAACCACTTCAAGGAGGAAAGGTTCTTTGAGGATCACTGTTTCAGAGCATTTGATCCACGGCCAGCCGGCTCCATTGTGCTTAGCTGCATCTGTGGCAGGGTAAAAACACCATGGACGATGGTGTGGTGGAGAAGAGCTGCTCACCTTTGGCAGGCAGGAAGTAGAGAGATGGGGAGAGTCAGGGAGCCTGTGCTGCCAGGCCTCCTCCTTCCAGCTTTTGTGTGCCACCCGGGCCCTGCACAACTGCATGGTGCCACCCCATTCAGGGTGGGTTTTCCCACACATGCCTGCTGTCTCTGGAAACACCCAGAAATGTGCTTTGCCAGTTTCCCCACACATTTCCCAGTCCAGCCAACATGACAATCAAGATTAACGATCACACGGTGATTAGGTGGTGAAGGCTCTGCCCACAGGAAGGGATGAGTGCCATCCTCACAGGAGTGGGTTTGTTCTGAAGCTCAGCTCAGCCCCGTTTTGCTCCCTTGTGCCCTCTCTTGTGCACACACCTCACATTATGGCCCCGCCAGACCCCCATCATCAGGAACCCGAGCCCGCTGAAGTTAGACTCCCCACAGGTTACCTGGTCAAAGACATCCAAGACGCAGCATAAACGGGCCCAGATGTGTATTCTTTAGGGAAAGGTCTGCTTAACATCTTGTACATTTTTTGAATGAGAATTTGTTTTCTTTTTACTGAGTTTTGAGAATTCTTTATATATACCTGGTGCAGTTATTTTCCCATATGTAGGTTTTGCAAATATTACCCCCCAGTCTGTGGTTCACCTTTTTGTTCTCTGAACTGTTTTTCACAGCAGGTCTAAAGGCCTGTTTGTCAACTTTCCTTGCTGTATTATTAAAGACCTTCGCCTGACCCAAGGTCACGAAGTTTCTCCTGTTCTTGAGATTCTGCAGTGATGGGTTGTATATATGGGTCTATAATTCCTTTCCAGATTTTTTGTATAAAAAATGTGAAATATGAGTTGTGCCATTTTCTGCACAAGGATGTTCAATTCTTCGACATCATTCATTTATTGACAAAATCATTTCAGAGCACATTTTCCTGCATTAGGTGCTCCCTGAGGGCAGGGAGAGGGACGCTGTCACTGAGAAGCAGGACTAAAGGCCCCACACTCCTCCTGGGCCTTAGGCCTGTGTCTCTATTTGGCCTGGGCAGCGGGCCAGTGGGCAGGCCGTGCCACTGAGCCCAGCCAGCCTCAGTATTGCTGGGAGTGGTGCCCAGAGACATTGGTAAAAGTGGGATTATCCTGCGACCTCTGAGGTCTGCATGCTGCTCCACACAGGCTGTGAGAACGGCCGTGACAGGGCTCTCAAGGGAGGGAGCCACAGACGGCGTCTGTCTCCTTTGCCACCCAGAGAAGCCGGTGAGATGCCAAGAGAAGAGGGTGCAGGGCAGGAAGGGACGAGGCCAGGAGAGCCCCCAGCAGAGTCCTGGAGGGAGAGGGTGGGTTGCCGAGGCCCCGCCTGGGCACAGGAGGAGCTGGGCGGGGCTGGGATGGTGTGCGGCCCTCACTCTCCCCTGCCCACCACCCCTGCCACTCCCTCCCTGGGCTCTGTCCCAGGCTTGCTACTTCTGAGATCTGTCGCCCCAGCGATAACCAAGCGGCTGGGCCAGGCTGTGTCCACGGCTTTGGAAAGGGGCACAGCCTGGTGTCCACCATGGCTCAGCGCACAGTGGCCTGGTCTCAGGGCAACTCTCTGCAGCTGCTCAGGGTGAGGCAAAGGTCCCTGTGTGGTCCAGAGCGCGCCTGACAGCCCACTGGTACAGCCCAGTGCGCATGCGCTACAGAGGTAGTGTGAGTAACTGGGCAGGGCTTATGTAAGGACAGGTGTTTCCTTGTTTACCTTCACACCTGAGGAGTCAGCTGGCACTGGACCCACCTGATCCCTGCAGCTGTGGCCTCAGAGTTCTCTTTTCACCTGAGTTCTCTTTTCACCCACCCTCCTCTCTCACTGCACTTTCCCCAGGTGCCTGCCTTGGCCAGTCAGTGCTTAGTAAACGAGTGTTTCCGACATCGCGGCACATGGGTATCACAAAAGCTGTGCATAGACCCCAAGAGTGAAGAGGGGGAACTGATTCGCAGACTCACGGAGCGTGAGATCAAACTATGCAGAGACTCAGTAGTTCTGGCTCTGAGCAGCCTTTAGTTGCTGACACAGGAGAGGCAATGGGGGTTCAGGCAGAACTGGGTCAGCAGAGACCTTCAGGAGGGCACTCCAGGAGCTTGAGGTGATGGCTTTGCCTCTCAGGCTGGCAGCTTTGAAAATTTTTGATAATTGACATTTCTGCATGTGATCCAGCGAGGGATAGGGGATGGGTGAGTAGGTGCATGTCTGAGTGGAGGGGATGGGTGGATAGACAGGAGGATGGGTAAATAGACGAATGGGTGGATGGATGAGTAAATGGATGATGTATGGATGGGTGAATGAACAGATGAAAGGGTGGATACATGGGTGAATGTGTGGATGGGTGGACGGATGTGTAGATGATGTACAGATGAGTGAAGGAACTGTGGATGGATAAATGAATGGATGTATGGATTCATGGATGTATGGTTGAGGGGATTGGCAGATGGGTGGATGATTTGATAAATGGATAGATGGATCAGTAGATGAATAGATGAGCAGATGAGTGGATGGGTAGATAGATGCATGCATGGATGGGTGGACAGATGCATGCATGGATGGATGAATGGGTGAATGGAATGCACGGGTGGATGAATGGGTGAATGGATGGGTGGCTGGCTGGATGGACAAATGATGGATGAATGGGCTGTGGAAGGATGAATGAATGGTGCATGAATTTATGGATGATAGTGGGATGAATGGATCAGTCGATCAGTGAATGAACAAATGAGCATATAGGTAGATGAATGGACAGAAGTATGTGTGAGTACATGAATGGATGTATGTATGCATAGATGGATGAATGCATGCATGCATGGATGGATGGATGGACCCATGGATGGATGGATGGATGGTAGATGGATGAGAGGAATGACAGAGGGATGGATGTGTGGATAGGTAGGAGACTTGCAGACAGAAGAATGGAGACAGGCAGGAAAAGGGATGAGTGGGAGGTAAAAGGGGCAGTGGACAAGGGGAAAGACAGGCTGATGGGAGGGTGTTTGCATAGCAGGGCAGCCCAGTATGACCTGTCTGGCACTGCTGGCCTGACCTCAGCTCTGGGTGCCCACAGGTAGCTTCCTGATCCCCTACTTCATCATGCTCATTGTGGAGGGAATGCCGCTCTTGTACCTGGAGCTGGCGGTGGGGCAGCGCATGCGGCAGGGCAGCATCGGTGCCTGGAGGACCATCAGCCCCTACCTCGGAGGTGTTGGTATGTGGGCCCCCTTCTGTCCCCTCCCACACAGAAACATCATACTGTTCCCCCGGGTGGCACAGGGGTGCGGGTGGGGGTCTAACAGCAAGCACAGGACCCCAGAGAGAGCCAGTGACTGCAGTGACTGGGTGAGCTGATGGCCCAGGAGCTGCCAGCAAACCTGGGCTGAGCAGGGCTGGGACCCGAACCACGGGGAGGCCCCGGGGCACTGACACACCTGGCTTCTCTTCTCTGGGCCTCAGCACGGAAATCTATGGAAGGGAATTCACTGCCCAGCTGCTCTGTAGCTTGCTGATGCCAGTGGTGTGGTTTTCCACCATGGCCTAGGCCAGACTTGCAAGCTGCCCCGCATGTAGGATGGGAAGGGTGGGGACAGTGCTCTGGAGGGCCCGTGTGGGCTCCCTACACCCCAGAGCACCCTTGGTGGCCAGCTCTACGTAGGCTCCACACAGGCCTACCGTGCCTCCATGCCTCATACCTCCTCACCCCAACCTGACACCACAGAACAGAGTCGGCCCCTGTGACCCAACCTCGGGTGAGCCAGAGCAAGGAACTGTCCTACTGGACACATGGGTGGCACACGGCAGTGACAAAGTGTTTCTCCCAGAGGTTTGAGTCCTAGCTCTGCCACTCACTAGCTGGGTGGTCTTGGGCCAACTCTGTGCCTCAGTGGTCTCCTCTGTGACATGGGGACAATTCTGTGATGAAGACCACCTGTGTGAAGTACTTAGCACAGGACCTGGCACTTCATCTCAACAATGTCATCAGCCTCACATCTCAAAAGAGAAAAAAGGGGTTGGGGAAAGAAACAGCCTCACAGAGAGGCCATGTTTCATGTGGAGGGGTTTCTTGGCCCGTGAGGAGTCACTGCAGACGGTGGGCCACTCACACGTGGTCCCCATCATTGCCCTCTGCTTCCCCCCAGGTGTGGCCAGTGTGGTGGTGTCTTTCTTCCTTGCCACATACTACAACATCATCAACGCCTGGGGGTTTTGGTACCTCTTCAATTCCTTCCAGGTGAGCCAGAAGGCAACAAGGAGCAGATGCGGGGCCCCCATCTGGGAAGGGGAGGAGGAGGCAGCCTCAGGGGTGCCAACAAGTGGCAGGAGGGACTGGGGAAAGCTATGCACCCCAAAGAGTGGATCCAAGATCCCTCATGTTGCAAGCCAGGGTATATGAGTGTGTGTGTTTGTACACATAGTAGGAGGAGCTGGTTCACAGCTTTCATAGGCTGTGACCCCCAAAATATTAAGAATGATCTCTTAGTGGGTCCAGAAGCAAATCCATGGCAAGAACTGATAGTGATTTCCATATCCCAGCAGGACTGTAGGACTGTTCCTCCTCTTCTGTCCCCTTCTACTCCTTCCTGCCATGGCCACTTATCCTGACAGGTTTTAGATGATGGGTTGAGTCCCTCCCTTTCCTGCCAGACCCCAGCATTCTCCCAGAAGAACCACTGTTACCCTTTAACACAGCAGGGGCTATTCCCACAGACAAAATTCTGCATAGGACCTTTCTGCTGCTCCCTGGAGTTCAGTGATCTCCAAGATTTTTGGCCCAGGAATGGTTTCATGGAAGATAATTTTTCAATGGACTGGGGTGGGTGGGATATCTTTTTTAATTTTCTTTTTAAAAAATTAGTATATATTTGTGATACATAATGATTCCTTTTCCCAGTGCTAGCATCACAGCCTCAGCCCCATCTCAGGTCATCAGGCACTAGGTCCTCACAAGAAGTGCTTAGCCTAGATCCCTCACCTGTGAAGTTCAGTTGAGTTCAACCTCCCATGCGAATCCCATGCCCTCTGATCTGACAGGAGGCAGAACCCAGGCCCTAACTCTAGTGCTGGGGAGCAGCTGTAAATACAGATGAGGTTTCACCCACTCACCCACCATTTACCCTCTTTGCCCTACCCAAGGTTACAAAGAGTTCTTTCTGTTTCTTCTTTAGATTTTAGAGTGATGGGTGATACAAATGGGTCTACGATCCATTTTTCTTATAAAACATGTGAAATATGTTTTCTGGTGCATTTTTCTGTATGTGGATGTTCAATTCTTCAACTGCATTTGTTGATGAAATAATCACTGGTACTCACCTGAGCTGCATGTTCACTGAACGTTAGGAGAATGACAAGAATTACTGTCGGGGGAAAAAAAAGAATTACTATTGGGCAGGAGTCAAGGCCTCACACTAGCACCTGCCACACTAGCACCTGGCCCCAGCCTTCCAGGTAGAAACTAGTTCCTCTGCCTCTTAAGCCTGAGGGCTGCTTCTTCTCCTCTGTGCAGGGCTGCCATGTATGGTTGGGCAGGTTCTATATGGTACAATGGCACTCCCAAAAGAGGTACAGGCATTATAGATTTATAAAGTTATGAAGACAAAATTTCAAAGGTGGAAGCAACTCGCCTTATCTAACAAAGTCAGGAAGATTTGTCCATTTTCTAAGTAAAGTGTATTTAAAAGGAGACAGATGTTTCTTATCCTCAGAAATGTGGACACCAAGGATTCCAAAAAATCATTTGAACATTTGCTCCTTCTGTCCTTCACAGACCCAAGACGTGGTGGGGGTCAGAGTTCTGCTCTGCCATCATCCATTTCAGTCGCTAGTCTTCAACAGAATGCAGGTGTTCCCAAAACCACCTGCAGGATGGCAACAAGAGTAGAGCTCTCCATAACCACAATAAAACACTGGAGGCAGTGAACTCACAAAGGCAAAAAGGTTATTTAGCTGGTAGTTTGGAAGGTTCACGTGTGAACAGATGGGCCCATTGGTTTGGCCTCTAGTGAGGGAAAAAGAAGACAGCAGGTCACCCCACGAGCAGATGCAGGCACAAATGTGGCATCTTCAACAGGAGACAGGGTCCCACCAGTGGCAAGGAGCCAAGTAACCTGAGGCCCTCTCAGTAGGCACCGCCACCAAATACCACCCAGGATGACCCCCCACAGCCAGGCCACTGCACATAGACCTCTGGGGAGCACCCCACCACCGAGAAACTGCACAGCCCCGCTGAGCCTCGACATGCATGCACTCCCTGTGCCGCAGGAGCTCCAGCCACTGCCCAGGGCACCAGTGACCTTCCTCTGCCCTCATCCCCCACCCCACCTCCCTCTCACCCCTCTGCACAACATCATGCCACCCTGCAGGACCCTCTGCCGTGGTCTGTCTGCCCACTGAATGGAAACCGCACAGGCTACGAGGAGGAGTGTGAGAAGGCCTCGTCCACGCAGTACTTCTGGTACCGGAAGACCCTCAACATCTCGCCGTCCATCCAGGACAGTGGGGCTGTGCAGTGGGAGCCGGCGCTGTGCCTCATCCTGGCCTGGATGATGGTGTACCTGTGCATCCTGCGGGGCACCGAGAAAGTGGGCAAGGTGGGCAGGCAGGAAGGGTGGTGAGAGCAGCACCGCTGTACCCCTTGAGTAGCACCGGGGCAGGGCTCCACCTGGAGGAGTAGAATCCCACAGGGCGGGGACCCAGCGGGTGTGTTGGAGGGGATCGCCTACTGTGTGAGACGAAGATGCCTGGAAGTGGCTGCAGTTGTAACCTTCAGTCTTTCATTTTATTGGTGCACATCGCTATTACCAGGTGATGGAGGTTCCTCGAAGTTGGTGTCTGGTTTAACCCCTCTTACTCAATTCCAATCCCCTTGGACCCCTTCTCTTTCAGCCATAAATCCATCTGTCCTGAGCTGCTGTTTGTTGGAAGAGTTTTAATGGCTGCTTCTATCTCATTGCCCGTTATTGATCTGTTTGGATTTTTTATATCTTCTTGGTTCAGTAGAGGTGGGTCGTAGGTGTCTAGGAATTTATCCAATTGCTGTATTTTATCCAATTTGTTAGAATATAAACTTTGAACATAATTCTGGTGATTTTGTGGAATTCTGTGGTGTGTGTCTTAATTTTTCACTTCTAAGTCTATAAACTTGGGCCTTTTCTCGCTTTTGATAAGTCTGGCTATCAACCTTGTTTATCTTTTCAAGAACTAGCTCTGATTTGCTGACCTTATGTGTTGGGGTTTTAAAATTTCAATTTCATTAATTTCTGCTCTGGTATAATTTCTTTCTACTATAGTTTTAGGTTTAGCTTGTTCTTGCTTTTCTAGAAGCTTAGATGCATCATTAGCTCAACTATTTGGGCTTTGTTTTCTGATGTAGTTACTCATAGTTATGAACTTTCCTCTTACAACTGCTTTCTCTGCGCCCCACACATTCTGATATATAGTGTTTCCAATATCATTAGATTCTAGGAATGTTTTAACTTTTCCCCTGAATCTTTTCAGTGACCTACTTATAGGCTAAAAATATATTATTCAATCTCCATACATCTGTGTAGCTCCCGTGGTTTATCTTGCTGTTGATTTCTTGTTTCATTCTGCTGTAATCTGGTAGGATGCATGAGATTATTTCAATTTTTTGGTATTCAGTGAGGCTTACTTCATGGGTTAAAATATAGTCTGCTTTACAGAACATTCCATGATGTGCTGAAAAGATAGTGAATTCTGCTGATTTGGGCGAAACATTCCACAGATATCAGTGAAGTCCATTGATCAATAGTATAGTTTACTCCTGGTGATCTTTTGCCCAGTTTCCTGTCTAGTTGACCTATTTGTATGATAGTGGGATGTTGAAGTCACACACTATGGTTGAGGTGGAATCTATGTCAAGTGCGATCTCTATCCTCTTATGTCAAGTAGTATTTGTTTTATCAAGCTGGGTGCACCAATATGTATTTACACCTGTTAGGTCTTCTTGGTGAATTCTCTTTTACCAATATGCACCAGCTTTTTTCATCTCCTCCATTTTTGGTTTGAAGTCTACCTGTCAGATATGAGTATAGCTACTCCAGCTTGTTTGGGGGATCCAACTACTACTCGGAGTATTTTTCCATTCTTTCACTTTCAGTTTGTGTGTACTTTGCAGATGAGGTGTGTTTCTTGCAGACAGCATATGGATGGGCCTTGTTTTTTTTATTAGATCTGCCAACCATTTACATTAAATATTATTAATGAAAGGTATGTCCTAATTCCAGTCATTTTGTTGTTTTTCTAGTTTTATATTCCTTTCTGTTATTTGTTTACCTTTTTCCCAGTGAGCTTTACTCTTTCTCCTTGTCTTATAGCTGTGTTTTTCTTGGTCTCTGTTTAGGATTCTTTTAAATTCTGCAGTGCTGGATTGGTAATCATAAATTCCTCTAGCTTATACTTACTGGGGAAGATCTTTGTCTTCTTCAATTTTGAACAAAACTTTTGCAGAATATAGTAACCTGGGTTGACAATTATTTTCTTTCAGAGCCTGAAAGCCTTCATTCCAAGCCCTCCTGGGCTTTAAGATTTCTCTGAGAAATCTGCTCTTATTCTGATTGGCTTGCCCTTACGATTTGGAGCTTCTCTCTCATAGCTGTTGCTTTTGTTTCTTTGCTGTGAATTTGTGGCATTTTGACTATTATGTGTTGTAGCATGCTTCTCTTCTTGTCATGTCTATTTTGGGTTCCAAATACCTCCTTTTCCTATGTACCACTTGCATTCCATGGTTTTGGGAAATTTTGTGCTATAATTTCAGAGAATGGATTTTTAAGCCATTACCTATATTTCAATGCTTTCTTCTAAGCCAATGAGCCTTAAGTTCTTTGTTTTATTCAAGAGTTCTTACATATTCATTATTTTTTTTTTTTTTGCTCCTGTCTGAATATGTTAGTACTTCCATCCTGTCCTGACCTCCTGACATTCTTCTCAGTGATCTTGTGTACTGCCTAGACTTTCAATGAGGTTTTTGCCTCCAGTGGTCTTTCATATCCCACACTGTCTTCCTTAATCCACTCAGGTGATTATTTGTCTCTTCTTTGAGCTCATGAGCAAGTTTAAAAATCAGCCTTTCAAATTCTTTGTCTGGGTCATCCACCTCAGTATCTGGGGGAACAGCTAAAGACCCATCCAGAGAGGGGTCACCAGCCATGTTTCTCACACTTGGCCCCAAACTCTCAGGGAACTCACACATGAAGCAACCTTGCAACACCATTCTTTGCTTTGAGTAAGAGGTTCTGGTGCATGTAGGAAGTGACTTACAGAAATACCAGTCCTGGGTGAGCAGACAACACTGGAAGGTCTGTGTCCAACCTTTGAAAACGGGTCACAGTGGCACATGCCTGTACTCTCAGCATTCTGGGAGGCTGAAGCAGAGGGTAGTAAGTACAAACCAAGCCTGGGAAAGCTACTGAAACTGTGTATCAAAGTAAAAAAAAATTTTTAAAGGTTGGGAATGTAGTTTAGGGTAAGGGCCCTGGGTTCAATCCCAAGTAACCATCAAAAGAAGGCAAAAATATGTATGTGTAATTTCAAGCCCAAGGAAATGACAACAGTTATGAGGGGTACTACAGAACCAGACCAGAGAATTTCCCACTGAACTTATTGTGCAGATATTTCCCCCACATTCCATGACACTAGTTTTCCTCTATGAGCACTACTGGCCAGGTTCTCTCAGACCTTAGCCATGAAATCTTGAACAGCCTCAAGCCCTTGAGTGTTTTGTCTTTTAGACAAAATAGATGTCTTGTGATATCTTTGTGCTTCCTGCTTTGTTTTACCACCAGAAAAATTGGTTCAGAGCAAAATTTGGCTCAGATGCTGAGTAGAGACATGCATGCATCTGTGAGTGGCCTTTTCCCTGTCTTCATTATTAGATTGCCCGTTTACTTTTCAGACTGACTTCTCTACCTAGAAATGGGAACACATCAACAGGAATACTTGTGGGTGCCTCTGTCCTATGTGGAAGACATTTGGGTGGAAGGAGGCCAGAAGGCAGAAGCCTGGGTGCCTGCTGCCTCTTGTCTGCTGATTAAGAAATTCCTGCTGGTTACAGACCTGGGTAACCACAGCCACCAGCCCAGTTGTCCAGTGCAAAGTCAGACCCTGATCCGACCAAGGGTGCCCAGGCCACCTCCAGCTGGCAGCACCTGGGCTGCAGCCTGAAGACCCAACAGGCTATGGTCCTTCCAGGGATGTCGGGTCTGCCATGCTTCCTTCCCAGGATGCTGACCCTGCCCTCTGGCATCACAGGTGGCCTATTTCACTGCACTGCTGCCCTACTGTGTGCTCATCATCTACTTGGTCAGAGGCCTCACCCTCCATGGAGCCACCAATGGCCTGATGTACATGTTCACTCCCAAGGTGAGAACACAGAGGGGGTTGTGAGGATACCCTTCACTCACACCAGCATGAGGGAAAGAAGGGGTGGGTGGAAGGAAGGTACAGCTCTCCACAAGAAGCCTGGAAGCCAGACCTCACCTCCACAGCCAGGCCACACACCTGCATGTCTGGATGTCCAGACCCATGCAGGGCCTGGCTGGGGAGTCTCAGGCCCCATGTGTTTTTGATCATTCAACCCCATGATACTCAATTGCATACTTCCTATGGGTAAAGTGCTGTGGACAGTGGGATGGGAAGACTTCCAAGTGGCTTGTGTGCTAAGAAATGGACAGCACAGACCAGGGCTGGGAGAGCTGACAGGCTGTGCACTGGGGGCGGCTCTTGCCCACTCTGGACCTCCCGCCCCGGGGGTGCGAGTCTTCAATTGACACTCAGGATTCATGAGCCCCGTCCCTGGTGGCCTTCCAGGTCGAGCAGCTGGCCAACCCCAAGGCTTGGATCGATGCAGCCACACAGATCTTCTTCTCTCTTGGCCTGGGCTTTGGCACCCTGATCGCTTTTGCCAGCTACAACGAGCCCTCTAACAACTGCCAGAAGCACACCATCATCGTGTCCATCGTCAACAGCGCCACCTCCATATTCTCCAGCGTGGTGACCTTCTCCATCTACGGCTTCAAGGCCACCTTCAACTATGAAAACTGCTTGAACAAGTAAGCGGGCCCCCCCATGAAGACCTGGGTCTCAAGTGGGGAGGAATCCACAAAGCTCTGAGCTGAAGGGAGAACTGCAAGAAGTGGATGCTCAGAAGCCACAGGTGGGAAAAGAGCTCCAGTTTGGGAGTCCTCAAGCCAAGGTTTGACTTCAGACTCCTCCCAGCAGCACTCAGAGCCAGGCCACCTTGCTTAGTCAAGGTCACCTCCCGGGAAGGAGGGCAGTCTAAGGTGTTCAAAGCACTTAGTAGATAAGAACATCAACAACAACTCCAGTGACTTCTGCCCCATCAACCCTATCTCAGAAGGAACCAAGACCCGCTCAACAGCCAGAATTTACTGTCTTTAGCTCCTGACCCAAAATGTAGGAACATCACCCAGAAGGTAAGAGGTCCCATAGGGTGGTCACCCTAGTCACAAGCAGGTAGTTCCACATTTCAGTTTAGCCACACTGAAGTTCTCCATCACCACATGTGGAACCATGTACCATCCACATGGTACCAACAGTCAGGACAGTTCCTAGAGCACACAAGTGTCTAGTAGACGTCCTGTCCCGGTGTTAAAGTAGCCTCACTGTGCAGGTTTGGTTCTTGTTGTCATCCCGTTCATGGCCGAGGCTTTATCAGAGCCATTCAGAGTTGCCCTGTCCCCTCCAAGGTGGCCAGCGCAGTTTCCCATCCCTCACCTCAGCAGAAGAGGTGGGAGGGACGGCACCCGATCCCCAAGCTTCTGTGAGGCGCTGAGGCCAGCAGCCTTTCTAGTCAGTGGAGGTCAAGCTGGTGGTCTGCTCTGCAGGGTGATTCTGCTGCTGACCAATTCTTTTGACCTTGAAGATGGCTTTCTGACAGCCAGCAACCTGGAGCAGGTGAAGGGCTACCTGGCTTCCACCTACCCGAGCAAGTACAGCGAGGTCCTCCCACTCTTGCAAAACTGCAGCTTGGAAGCAGAGCTGGACACGGTAAGGTGCTGGCCGGGGTAGCTCAGGGCACCTCTGTCCATGTGTTCACAGGTACTTGGGCCAAGAATGACCAAGTCTTCTGTCACTCTCCCTGGTTGCTGTTCAGGATTCTTGGTCATTAAAAAGCACTACTGTATTTTCTGTATCCTTAACTTCTTTTCCTTTTCTCATTTTAAATTTTAAAAAATTAGGAAATTGCAAGTAGTAATATAATAAATATTTAATCATTTCAGACTCTGAAAATATATACAAATGTTTTAGAAACTTATTTAAAAGCTTGCCTATTTTTGTTTTACTGGTCCAGTTTTCCCTACTCTCTAGAGACAAGAACCTTCACTTTTACATTTTTATTCCTCATCTATATGCTTTTTCAAATATATTTTGTGCATATTTATAGGGCACAGTTTGATATTTTGATACAAGTAGGCAAAATGTAATGATCAAATCAGGGTCACTAGCAGTTTTATCTTCTCATGTTAATCATGTCTGTGCTGGGAACTTTTGGGCTCTTGAGACAGTTTTGAAATGCATCACATTGTTGTAGGTGAGAGTCACCCTGCTGTGATGCAGAGCTGATCCTCCCTCTGTTCACATCCTGGTCCTCCCCGTTACCTCTTCCCATTCTCCCTCCCTACTTCTGTTCAGAACTTCCAGGGACTGCTATTCCATTGTGTTCTCCTATAAGATTCACTTTTCAGTTTCCACAAAAGAGTAACAACTTGGAAGCATTTGTCTTTCTGTACCTGGCTTATTTCATTTCACCTGGTCTGCCATTCCGTCCATATTACTACAAGTTACAAGCTTTCATCTTCTTAATGGTTGAATGACACTCACCCACCATTAGGTGAATGGACACTTAGGTTGTTTCTGATTCCTGATTATGAATACTGCTGTAAGAACCATGACAGTGCAGATGTGTCCTTATATGGCTTAATTTCCTTTGGATATATACTGAGTCATGAGCCTGGTGGCTCACTCAGTAGTCCTATTTTTAGTTTTTTGAGGAATCTCTGTTCTTACCATAATGGCTGCACTAATTTCCGTTTTCACCAACCTTATACATGAGTTCCCCTTTCTCCACATACTTCACAGCACTTGCCACCTCTTTGTTTTTTGTAACAGCTATTTTTTTTTTTTTTTTTTTTATTGTAACAGCTATTTTTACTGAGGTGAAATAATATTTCATTGTGTCTCTGACTTGGATTTCATTGATGATTAATGATGTTGAGCATTTTTTCATATACTTGTTGGTTATTTGTATGTCTTCTTTTGAATAAGGATCATTCAGGCCATTTGCATATTACTTATTTGGATTTTTTTTACTATTAAATTGTTTGAGTTTTAAATAAATTTAACAAAGGAAATGAAAGATCTTTATGATAAAAAATTTTAAAAATGAAAGATCTCTATGATAAAAATTATAAAACACTGATGAAAGAAGCTCAAGAAGACACAAAAATGGAAAGGAAGCCCATGTTCATGGACTGGGAAAACTATCATTATTAAAATGTCCATACTACCCAAAGCAATCTACAGATTCAATTCAATCCCCATAGAAATAGAAAAAGAAGTCATAAAATTCATATAGAAAAAAAATCATAAAATTCATATCAAACCACAAAAAACCCAGAATAGCCAAAGCAACCCTGAACAAGAAAACAAAGTTGAAGGCATCACTATATTTGACTTTAAGACATCCTACAGTTACAGACAAAATGGCATGGCACTGACAAAAAAACAGACACACAGACCAATGGAACAGATGAGGAAGCCCAGAAATTAGTCCATGTGTTTAAAGCCAACTGATCTGCACAAAGGTACATTAAAGGAAGGATATTCTCCTTAATAAATGGTTCTGGAGAAACTGACTAACCACATGGAAAAGAATAAAACAAGATCTATATCTGTGTTAGTTACTTTGCCACCATTGAGACAAAATATCCAACAGGCCTAGCTGCAAGGAAAAGTTTATTTGGCTCGTTTCAGTGAGTTCAGTCCATGGTTGGCTGGCTCCAAGGCAGGAACAGCATGGTAGAAGGACATGCCAGAGGACAGCTGCACAATCCATAGCAACCAGGAAGCAAAGAGAGAGGGGAGAAGCCAAGGACAAAAACATAGCCTTACAGGTCACACCCCCAGTGACCCATGCATCCAGGCATCCTCTGTGTCTTACACTGAGCCGCCTTGATGAATTATTTCATAAATTCTTTTGTCTATAGATTTGGTTTTGCTTTCTGTGCAAAATATCCCACACCCTGCAGATATACTTCAATATTTTTAAATGCCCATATTTTGTTCCTTTTTTCTAATTTTATTGGCTAGGACCTGAACACTGTGGAGGTGGAAGTGTTAGTGGAAGTATTCTCTAATTCTTGTATTTAATGACTCTAGTGCTCTAGACTCCTTCAAGAGAACATTTCTAGAGAGGACTAACCATGAGCAGGGCAGAGGGCTCTGGCTGCCCATGAGGTGCTATTTTCTGGCTTGTTGGAAGCTGGTTTGTTTGGCAACTCCTTTCATGTGTGGTGCTCTTCTAGGTTAATTCATGGGTGCAGCAACCCTTTTTTCCTGCTGGTCCTCCAGCCTAGCTCTCTGCCTATACCAGCCTGTAGCATGAGCTCCCTCTCTGGCAGACATCATGACCCCAACACCAGGTTACAAGGCCTTGATCCCACTCAGAAACCCATGAGGCTCTTTGATTCTGTGCTCTCCCTTCTAGTTTCCTTTTTGGTTTATCACCAGGGAGTCTTCACCTTCTTTTGAACTTGACTGTATGTCTGAGAATATATGTTTACTGATTTCTGTAGACTTTTTACTCTATCTCGCTCTCTTTCTCTTCTTTGTAAGGCCACATTCCTGTTATCTTAGGGCCCCACATTTAACCTAAACTGCCTACTAAAGACCCACTCTCAGGTACATTCACACTGGGGGACAGGGATTCAACATAAGGTTATTGGGGGAAGGGACCCCCCCACCCATAGCAATTCTGACTCTGACCATCCAACATGTGCTGCCTTGGGGAGGACGGTCCTATCTTATTCCCACTGACTCTGCTCTCACGGTCACTTCTCTTTCTGTAGGCTTCTCAGTCCCTCTGTGTGAGCTCATTGCTTATGCTCTGGGAATCCTGTGGGTTAAAACTGGGGAGCACTCCGTACCCACAAACACACAGGGTTTGCTTTCGCTGCATCGCCTGCTGGGAGCCAGCAGACACCCACACCCACGATGCCTTCCGACCCTCACTGGGGTCCCAGAGGACTTGTCTTTAAGCAGGGGCTGCAGACTCAGTCTGCACAGCTCCGTGTGTCCGCACAGGGTCACCAGCACAGGACTCTGGCCACGGAGCACTGTCACAAGGCTGGCTCCCCACCACGCTGGGCCCATCGCGCCTCCTCAGGCCAGCCCCGAGGGCTCAGAGCACCTGGGCGATCACGACTCTGGAAGCAGAGCTTGTCTACGTGTGACCTCACTGTCTCCAGAATATATGAAAGCTGGGGCGGGGCACAGAGACAGAACTTCATGCTCTGCAGAGATGCGTCTGGGCAGCTCCCAGTTCTCTCTGGTGCAGCTGAGCCTCAGGGCCTGGTCTACAGGTGAGCCGGGCTCAGCAGATGGCTTTCCTGGCCAGTTCCGAGGTCCCCACATTGCTTAGAATTCAATGCACTTCCAACCACTGGTCTCCTGGGTAACTGCCACCTTCTCACCATGGGCAGGCCGTCCAGGGCACGGGCCTGGCCTTCATCGTCTACACCGAGGCCATTAAGAACATGGAGGTGTCCCAGCTGTGGTCGGTGCTTTACTTCTTCATGCTGCTGATGCTGGGCGTGGGGAGCATGCTGGGCAACACAGCAGCCGTCCTCACCCCTCTGACCGACAGCGAGGTCCTTTCCAGCCACCTGCCCAAGGAGGCCATCTCAGGTACTATCTGTGTTGGGACCCTGTCTGCCACTCCATGCTGCGGGTCATGGCAGAGTTGCAGGACATCTCTGAGCCTTGTATGCTCAATGTGAAAGGCCCTGTTGTTCCCTGCCCTGAGGCTTAAGAACGCCATGAGAACCAGTGTCTGGCACACAGCAGGAGCTGAGGAAACCCTAGCTCTTCCCCCGCCCCTGGATGGGCTCCCACCTCTCTCAACCTCTCTCAGAGCTCCTCCCTGGCCCCAGCGCACACACCTGACTCTCCCCTGCTTCTCTCCCTATGAGTGCTGGGCCTGGGCAGCGGAGTCCCTGGCACCCCGGACCCACAGTGTGGGTGATGCTCCTGGGAGTGCACTGCTCCCACATTTTCCTCCCACTGAGCCTGACATCCCCGGCAGGGCAGTTCCTCCAACCCAGGTGGCTGAAGCCAGTGGCCAGAGTCCCCCGGCGGCCAGGGCCCTGCTGCCCTGACAGAGCGAGAGAGCGGGAGCAGGCAGGGCGCCTCAGGCAGCCAGCAGGTGTCTTGTGCCCAGGTCTGCTATGCCTCGTCAACTGCGCCGTCGGCCTGCTGTTCACCATGGAGGCCGGGAGCTACTGGTTCGACATCTTCAACGACTACGCGGTCACACTGTCCCTGCTGCTTATCGTGCTGGTGGAGACGCTCGCCGTGTGTTACGTGTACGGGCTGAGGAGGTGAGGGGGCCCGGCCCTGCCAGCTCCACGGGCAGAAGAGCCCGGGGCACCCCACAGCCGCCGCCCTGGCTCGGGCGCCTTTCCTTCTAGAAGGTTGCTCTTTGCCCTCGAGTTTGTTACTTTCCCTGCAGTCTCACCTGCTTCTCTGCCTTCCTTCTGCCCTCAGGTGGGCTTCAGCCAACAGCCTCTGCTTCCTGTCTTTCTCTGTGTATAAGAAGTTCCCAGCTGGCCCTGCTGCACCCTGCAGCTCCCTGGGAAGAGAACCCAGCTTCCCAGCACTGGATTCTCTGATCATCAGCCAACAGCAGTGTTTTTTGAGGACCCTGACTGGCCTACTTGAGAACTGAATCTAGAGAATCAGGCACATTCCATTGAGGTCGGGTCCTCACCCCAGGTGCCCAGGCAGTGCTGGGAAGTTTTCAGTCTCCCCAGGTGATGCAATGCGAAGCTGGGGCCACATGGCTGATCTAGAGCAGCTTGCAAAGGATTCTGTTTTGTTTTTGTGGTCCTGGGGATCAGAGCCAGGGCCTTCACACTGCGCAGGCTTTCCAACGTTGAGACAGGGTCTCACCAAGACAGGTTTGCCTCCAGTTCCTTGTGCTTGCCCATGGGGCTAGCGCCATCTGGTGGCCCTCTAGCAACAATGACCTGCTGCCTGGCACCTTTTTGTACCCAGGAGTGGACAGGGGTGAAGGGAAAGAGAGGACCCACTCTTTCTGACCTGTGTCACTTTGACCACCTCAGATATTCGTGTCACACAAGGAGCCTTGGTGGCCTGGATCCCCGAGCCCAGCTCAGTCAGCAGTGCTCTGCGGAGCCTTCCATGGGCACCACGCAAACTGGGGCAGGATGCCAGGGCTATGGTGACAGTGACACTTCAACCAATCCCATCCCCTCTTGCCAAGAGAGGAGTTTTCAATACCTGAGCTGCAGGCTGGGCTCAGCCCCTGCCCCGAACCCTGCGGTCCCCAGGCACAGAGGGGTCCTGACCCGGGTGTTTCTAAGGGGCATGCAGATGCCCACAGACAGGGTTGAGGCCAGGGAGGCAAAGCTGCCCAAGGGGCCCTGTCCTGGCCACAGACTGGCCCGCATCCCTCCTCACCGGCCCCTGCCACCCCTGGACCCGCCCTCAGGTCTACACTGCAGCTTCCTCTGAAGGCCACCCACAGCACAAGTGTCCCTTCCTGCTGCGGGCTTGCTGTGTGGTCACCACGAGGGAACCTGAGGGGACCCGAGTGGTGCACTCGGCTCAGGGTGCCCTGAGCAGATTCCTGGGCAAACAGGGCACGCTGGGCTCACCGGGCGCCAGCAGCAGCATAAGCCCAGATTCTCTCCCTCCCATGGCGCACAGATTTGGAGCCGAGCTCGAGGCCATGACCAGCAGCACCCTCAGCTGGTACTGGAAGGTCATGTGGGCGTGTGTGAGCCCGCTGCTCATGGTCGGCCTCTTCCTCTTCTACCTGAGCGACTACATCCTCTCGGGCACCCTGCAGTACCAAGCCTGGGACGCCACCCAGGTACCTGTCTCCCTGCGGGGCTGGGTGTGGTGGGGCCTTGTGCTTTCTGAGCCCAGGAGCTGCACGGTGGTGGGGAGGTCACGGGTGAGACTGAGACCTCTGAGGCGGCGGGCAGCTCAGCCCAGCCTGCAGAGCTGGTTATATGTGCGCCATGCTATTACCTAGAGGTGCAGTCGTAGCCAGGAATCAAGGGCTTCTCAGGCTCCAGGCTGCTTGGGCCACAAGAGAGGATCCAAAGAAGGTCATCCCTCTTGGGAGCTCCGGGCATTGGTAGGACCAGGGCCCAGCAGGGGCTCCCTCCGGTCTCAAGGACTGCATCACTTGACTGCCTACCAGTAAGAGAGAGGAGAAAAGCAGCTTGTTCCCATCTGGCCTCTGGGACAGGCAGCTCCTGACCTCCTCCACACGGCAGCCCTGAAGCTTCAGGCACAGCAGTGCACCCAGGAAGTATGCGTGGGGAGCTGGGAATAGGTTCAAATCCTGCTTTTGTGGAAACCCTCTGGCAGGTCTGGAGGGCAGCCATTTCTGCCTCCCAGCAGATGTCTGCCTATGGGAGAAGTGCTGAGCTCTCAAAGTGTCATTTTGGGGCCCCCCATCGAAATACCCCACCTTGTCCTTTCCCTCAGTTTCTAGGGTTTGGGGCCTGTGCCATCCTGCTGGCTATTTACTGTTGGGGCCTGTCCCAAAACTAAAAATAAAAAAAGGCTTTGGATTTAGCTCATTAGTAGAATGCTTGCCCAGCATGCAGAAGGCAGAGTTCAATTCCCAGCACTGCAATTAATTAATTATAAATTCATTTTGAATTCAGGATAAAGCCAGATTGCCCTCAGTGACTACAAGGACATAGCTCATATCTACAATGACTACAAGCAGTGCTTACGGTATTATTAATAGAGAGGAGTTTAGCAAAGCAGGAAAACAATCGGGCTACTTTTAGAGCATTAAGACAACAGTCGTGACCGACAGCATTATGGCAGGACCAGCAGGCTTTAAAAAATTTTATAAAACTAGTATCAGGAAAAGATATATATTATTATAAAGCATAAAGCTCAGCACTCCTTCTACAATGTTCATCTAACCGGATATAAATCAGACTTCATTTAAAAGACCTTAATAACAGATGCTTAAATAAACCCTAACTCTCTTAAGATTAATTTCCCTATAAGCAAGCAAAACCCTAACAAGAGCAAAAAGCACAAGACATTATTTTGATATATAAAAATCTTTGTTCTTTGAGCCATTTCTTTTATAAACTGTATTAAGAACAGGCCAATGTTTCAAGAAAGCCTTGTTCTAAACATAACGGACTAGCCTGGGGTGGTGGTACACGCCTGTAATCCCAGCACTCAAGAGGCTAAGGCAGGAGGACCACTGTGAGTCCAAAGCCAACCTGGGCTATAAAGTGAATTCAAGGCCAACATGAACTTCCTGTGAAACCCTACCTCAAAAAGACCAAAAAAAATAATTAATTTTTAAAAAACCAGCCCATAACAGATTAAATTCTGGTATTACACGTGCACATTAAAATTTGATAGGAAACCCTGAAAATAACCTGTTTTCAGTTATAGCCAACTTAATTACGCATCTGCCTCCTCTCATACCACTAATCCTTTATAAACCTGCTGCAATTGGTTCAGATCAACAACTCATTTACATCTTTAGCTCTGTCCTATCTTTCTTGTTTCCATTGGAGAACAATCCAGTCATTTCATTTTAGGATGAAATCTTAATTTATCATGTGAAATACTTTCTCTAAAAACATTTTTGAGAATAGATTGTCTCTAAACAGAACATATCCAAATATCTTACTGAAAAGATACATATGTTGAAAGTACTGTTAGGCTAGCTGATCAACTCGCAAAACGTTACTGTTAGATGATCATAAAAATGATGCCATTCTAGAAATCAGAAACCACACATTACCCGTCCATTTTTAAATCATCTGTTATTTTAGGCTTATGATAAGGAAAGAAAAACAAAATTAAATCTCTTAGGTTTAAGAAGTCCAATAATATGTTTAAATAACACCTGATTATAAACCTAAATAACTCAGTCCATGTCTGTTTGTAGATTCTCAAATATTTGTCTGACAGTTGAGATTTATATGTTCATATTCATTCTCCAGAAAACTGCAAATGTCATCTCTAGATGTAAGAACTGCACATACAAGCTGGGCTGGTGGCACACACCTGTAATCCCAGCCCTTGGGAGGCTTAGGCAGGAGGGTGGTTGCAAGTTTGAGACCAGCCCAGGCTACAAAGTGAGCTCAAGGCCAGCCTGAACTGCATAGCAAGACCCTGTCTCAAAAAGACAAAAAATAAAAAATAAAATAAAAAAGAACTGCACATACATTAAAAACAATATTATCTTGGGAGTACATATATTGTTTTTCAATCTTGAAAAGTCTTGCTGCAAAAATAAAATGATTATTTTTTAATTTCATTTTTAAGCATCAGATCTGTCAGACCTATTTCATTTTTAAGCTGGTTTCCAAAGGGGAAACCAGCAGTAGCTCACCTGTTGCAGGGCAGCAGCTCAGCTATTCACTCTATCTGAAAGAATCTATATTAATTGTCTTCACAGCAAAACAAAAGATGTTTTCCAAACACTGACTTGTATCTGAACTATATGGTAGCTAAGTTTTAAAAAACTTAAATACTTAATGACTTCTCCTTGTATATACATTACTAACATTAGGGTATTTTAAGATGACGAACAAATATAATCCCTAATCATCTTAAAATGTACTGTTCAAAGTTTATTCCCTCCAAATTGTTGGCCTATATTAGATGAAAATGTACTTCAAATAAAGCCTTCATTTCTAGATATTTATTGTCTCTCTAGAGCAGCTCCTCACAAACTCATTAAAAGGCCACATATTTTTTGACAGTGTATATTACAAAGGCTTTTCAGAAACACAATCTACTGAACACATTTAATAGTTCCAAACACATTTTCTTTTATATATTTTATGAAAGAGTACCTGCATTTAAACTTAGCAAATGATGTTTCAGTATTTTAACTTTTTTACAAATGACTCAGATGTTTTGCATCTATATATATGTACATTTATAAACATTTATCCCATGAATTATTTACCCCGTTTATTATTTATAGATTACCCGTGCGATTTGAGATGTCAAACAAGCATAGTGAAAACTTTGTGCCAAGTGTGGTGGCACACACCTGTAATCCCAGGACTCAGGAGGCTGAGGCAAGAGGATCGTTGCAAGTTCGAGACCAGCCTGGGCTACAAAGTGAGCTCAAGGCCAGCCTGAACTGCATAGTGAGACCCTGTCCCAAAAAGACAAAAAAAGAAAACAAAATTTAAAAAAGCTTTGTTCTTTTCCCAAAGGAAAAACCATAAAAGTTGCTGTGCTTGAGACACACAAACACTAGATACTGCACCTTGAACATTTAAAATGGAACACTGATTGGCTGGCTATCCAGGCAAAACATACACTCCCAGTTCTAAAAACACCTTTGTTCTATCTTAACAACAAATTGAGCTGAACGCAGTTATCAAAAATCCACCTCTTTAACATTTTAGCCATACTACAGAGCAACATGGCAATGTATTGTTACCAGATGATAGATAAACAGGTCAATCACATCTCCTCACACACCTGCTTTCTCTAGAATCTTTAGGTCTCTTCTTTTCAAACTGGCACCACAGCCACAAAACAAGGCACCAAGAATTCTAAGTTCCCTGCCAAGAACCCCAGCTGGCTCTAAAGAGAACCCAAACTTGGCTCAGAAGCAGACAGAAAAGGCAAAGAAAAGAAAGGAGCCGGGTGTGATGGCGCATGCCTGTAATCCCAGCACTTGGGAGGCTGAGGCAGGAGGATCGTTGCGAGTTTGAGACCAGCCTGGGCTACAAAGTGAGCTCAAAGCTAGCCTGAACGGCATAGCGAGACTCTGGCTCAAAAAGACCAAAAAAAAGAAAGACAGGATGAGACCTGGTGTGTTCCGCTGTCAAGAAACCAAGGCTCAAACCCTGGGCTTGTAACTGTCTAAACATCATTATTTTCCTGTTTTAGCAGCAGCAGCAAGTGCAGGGCACACAGGCTCCAGGAAAGGACAGGCAAGTCCTCTGGTCCCGGGGCTGAACGTCCCCAAGGAAGCCCCTGGGAGTGTCATGTTCAAATGCCGCCACTAGAGGGCACTGTCCCTCCAGGGTCCCCAAATTGTTTTCCCGGGGCCCCCAGGCCTAGGTTAACTTGGGGTCCCAACACACTGGACTAGCCACTAGGAGACAAAAAAAAAAAAAAAATGATGAGAAGGAAAAGTGGTTTCTCCGCAACGTGCGGGGTGGAGGAAGGCGGTGCCCGCCCTCCGCGGCGCGCAGAGGCCCTGCAGCCTGAGAGCCACAGGGGCCGCCGGGAAGTGCGCCTGCGCGGCCTGGGCGGGCTGGAGCCTGGGGGAGCCCGGGAGTCCGTCGGGGTTTCAGGGAGGCTCCCTCGGCACTAGCCCTGGGAGAGGCCGCCCCTGCTTCCCACTGTGCTGCTCGCCCATGCGCAGCTTCTCGTCACGTTCGGGAGCCCATTTTGACCGGCCAGACCCCGGCTGACGTCGGGACGCTTAGCCCCGTGTGCGAGGCGGCCGGGGAGCCGCAGGCCCAAGGTGGCTGCGGGCGCGGCTGGCCACCCCCGCCTCTCCCACCTCGGGGCGCCTCAGGAAGTCCCTCCCCTGACGCTCGTGTCCCCTCCAGGGCCGGCTGGTGACCAAGGACTACCCCACCTATGCCCTGGCTGTCATCGGCCTGCTCGTGGCCTCCTCCACCATGTGCATCCCCCTGGTGGCCCTGGGGACTTACATCACGCAGCGCCTCCAGAAAGGGGCCTCGTTCCCTCTCGCCTGAGAACGGGCCTCCTAGAGACTGCTCCCCACCGGAAGTGACGACATCCGAGCCGGAAGTCCTCCCCGCACTTCCTGTGTCTGCAAAGGAGTAAGACGGTCAGGAGCACGTGCACAAATCCTTGGAAACCGCCTCTCCCCGTCCCAGCGGCCCTGGTCAAGTCATGCGGTATCCCTCAAATCGGGGATCAGGGCCGCTCCTCTGGAAGATGGCTTCCAGACTCTACAGAGTCCTCAGACCGGGGTGACGATGATACAGCACTTCTGAGATCAAGTTTAGGCAGTTTGGGTTGGGGCTGAAGAAACACCAAAATACTGGAGGATAATCAGTTTTCCTCCGGTTGAAGGAGTTTTTAAATGCCTGAGGTGACAGATTTGAACATCATTGGTTTGAAATTCTCTCTTTTTTAGACATAGTGAGTTTACACAATTTCTAGGTTCCCCTCCACCCTTCCAGTGTTAATACGACTGACCTGGCCATGGAGTGAGATGTTTGTTGGGGACTCATAGGAATCACCTTTCTCCAATCTAGGGTCTCTGGCACTGATCACCCTGTTTACAAATTTTTTCTTTTTTTTTTGGTACTGGTAATGGAACTCATAACCTCAGGCTTGCCAGGCAAGCGCTTGTGCCCCTGAGCTACATCCCTGGCCCTCCCTGTTTACAAATTTATTCCAGCTACTGTTCCCAACCCCCACCAGAGGAGGAGTCTGCATAGCCCCCATCTGTGGTGTCCTGACGTCCTGCAAAAATTACCAGAACCCACCATGAGGACGAGAGTAATCAGCTTTCCAGAGACTTAATGTTGCACTTGGACATGGTGGCCAACTCTAGAAGACCCCAGACATCGCTTACAATCAGCCTAGGTTATTTATCTGTACATAAGGAAATCTTCTAATGTATATAATTTAAACAGAGCATCTTATAACTGAAGACACACCATATTTATGATTATAGCATTAGTCTATCATGTGAATTTGTCTTCCTTTTTTCTTTTTCAATGCATGAGTACATCAATGTTAGCCTGAAGCAAGAGGGCCTTTCCAACTCCACCATACCCTGCTTTGTTGAGATTGTGGATTTCAGGAGAGTCTCTCTGGGTATATTTCTACAGACATTTGTATTTGTGAGTGTGTGTGTGTGTGTGTGTGTGTGTGTGTGTGTGTGTGTGTATGCGTGGCTTGCACATTCGTCCATATGTGCAGGCATATGCACACAGTACTGAGGATGGAACCCAGGGTTTTCACACTTAGCCACATCCCCAGCTCATTTTTTGAAATTTTGAGACAAGGTCTTGCCAAGTGACTAAGTTGCCCAGGCTGGGCTGAAACTGACACTCTTCCTTCCTTGGCCTCCCAGAGTGCTGGGATTACACTGGCAGGAAGTCCAGCTTCTGCAGACACTCACTCAGGATATCACCCAGAGATGTCTTCTTCTTGGACTTCCTTTTCATGCTACAAACTTCCCTACAGCAAAAACAGGCATTAGGAGGGCTTTTGGCTATCTTAGCTGCCATCTTTTTTGTTGCTGTTTTTGTTTTTCTGATCCTGGGATTAAACAGATTAAATAGAGATTTTGGAACTGGAGACACACCATATTTAGGATTATAGCATTAGTCTGCCATATGAATTTGTCTTCCTTTTTTTCTTTTTTACCGCAATAAACACATCAATGCTGGGCTAAAGAAGAAAAATGAGTGGCACATTTAGAAATAATTATATCAACAGTGACCTGTGAAACTTGAAAGCATTTTCAAGCATTTCCTTTATGCAGAAGAGTCATGTCAATGGAATAATGTCTGCTCCTGGACATCAGATGGATGAAGTAACACCTTTAGGAACACAGTGCCGCCCCACTCACAGTGTGGAGAATGCAGTACCAAGGGCTGATCAGACAATCAGGTACTTGTAGGGGAGTCAACGGGGAATAAAGAAAGACAGACAAATTTCAGGGTACAAGGGGAACTGGAAGGAATTCACTCCTAGTGAACTGGCTCAGCTGCCTCTGTGGTTGGCTCACTTTTATTGGCTAGCAAAAAGTGCAGGGGGAAGGGTGGCATGCCCCTTCATGGAACCGAAACTATAGAAAATAGGTAAATAAGGATTAAGTTAATGAGGAACCAGATTTTCTTTAAACCCAAATGCCTGTATTGTGACAACTGTCTTCAGCAGATACTGCTTTGCCTCAGGAGTGCTGGGTTATCAGCATTGCACCCATAGCCAGGGGTACGTGGCCTTCTGTATATCTCCCTGTTCCTGAGGTAAGGTCACACTGACCTCAGGACTTGGGGGCTTAAATCACATAGTCAGGCTCCCCATAATCTATCTCATGGTCTGATCCCCAACGTGCAGGCAAACCCAGAGTAAAGCGATCACTATCATATGCTGGGGCTGCATGGATCACACCTGACCTACCAAGCACACAGCTCAGCAGCACAGCACGCTGCAGTGTTGGGCGCTGACTTCCGTGACTGTGTGCTGACAAGGAGCTGCCCACATCCCCAGAGAACCCAGCAATGCATCATTCCCCCGGAAAAGGTCAAAATCCAAAACACAGTTCCCACTACGCACATACTGCTCTTACACCATCAGCACCAATGCCCCAGTCAAACTGCTGTTCACCAGGGGCTCCAGATAGGAATGTCTGCAGTTTGGCTTCCATTCCATTCTAGTTTCTTTGGACTTCACAAGGAGCAAGGGATTTCACAAGCGTCCTCTTGAGCCCACAGGAAGACCTGTCATAGGAAAGTTCACAGCCAAAAATACTGCAGAAAAGACAGGCTCCATAACAAAGAGTGCTTGTAAAAGATGAAAACTAGGTCCTTATCCCTCACCCTGTATAAAAAATCAGTTCAAAATCAGTCTAAGACCCAGGTATAGGATCTGAAACTTTAAAACTGCTAAACGGAACAGTTGAAACCATACGCACAGGGGCTGGGGGTTTAGCTCAGCGGCAAAAGCGCCTGCCTGGCATGCGCAAGGTCGTGAGTTCGGTTCCCGGTACCAGAGAAAAAAAAAAAAAAAAAAAAAAAAAAGAAACCATACGCACAGGCAGACACTTCCTGAATAGGACACCAACTCACAAGAAATAATAATAAGAATTAACTGGGACTACATCAATTAAACGTTTCTGCAAATCAAGGAAAACACAGAGTGAAGGGACAGCCTACACAATGGGAGAAAGTCTTTGCCAGCTACTCTTCTGACAGACTGTTAATATCTCTATATAAAGAACACTAAGCAGCCATGTGTGGTGGTGCACACCTGTGAAGCCAGCACTTGGGAGGCTGAGGCAGGAGGATCACAAATTTGAGCCTGTCTGGGTGACTTAGCAACTCAGTGAAATCCTATCTCAAAATTTTAAAAGGTGGTGGTGAGGGGGTTGCTTCACTCTCTGGGTTCAATTACCAGTACAAAAAAAAAAAATCCTAACATGTTTAGCATTAGGGAAATGTGCACCAAAACTTCGTTTAGATCCTGTCTCACCTGAGTCAGAATGGCTACCACCAGCACATGAAAAGCAATAAATGCTGATGAGAATGTGGGGGGAAATGAACCCCCTCTCCATTGCAGGTGGGAACATAAATTAGTGCAGCTGCTAGGGTAATAAAATGCAGCTTCCTCAAAATACAACAAATAGAGCTCTCATATGACCCAGCTGTGCCACTTATTGACAAATACCCAAAGGAATTAAAGTCACTCTACTCTAGGGCTACCTGCATAACTGTGTTTATTGTGCCACCACTCGCGATAGCCATGGTATGGAACCAGCCTATATGTCCATCAACAGACGCATGAAGAACGTGTGGTACATATACACCACGGAGTATCACACAGCCATAGAGAAGAAGGAAATTATGTCATTTACAGGAAAATGGATGGAACTGCATCATCGTCTTGGATGAAGTAATCCTGACTCTGAAGGACAAGCATCACGCGCTCTCCCTAACTTGTGGAATGTAACAAAGAAGCAGGAAGGGAGAAGAGGAACTCTTATTCAAAAAGAGGAAGGTGGTAAGGGGTAAGGAGGGGAGTGTAAGGGTTCGGGTAATTGGGGGATGAGTACAAAATATATGGAACATGCCTGGTGGAAACAGCTCATGGGTGCTGCCGGAGTGCACCATCTGGTTCCTGTAGGACTGCACCTCCTCACCCCACCCCTGCCTCGGTCACTGCTACCACTATACTCTGGTGTCCTTCCCCAGGACAAGGCTCCCAACCTTGAGGGCAGCACCACCACCTGTGTTTCCACGGCTTCCTGGGAGATTCACAGGGCTTCCTGTTCTTCCACGCATGGGATTCACCCAATGTTCACCACAGCGGTTGACAGAGTTGCGAAGCTGGTATCAGGGTTGCTGAGAGGGGCTTGAAATTGACAGCCCCTGAGGTAGACAGCAGCAGAACCATCATGCCTGGAGCAAGGGTTTCAGCGCTTACAGTTGTGATGACGCTAGAGAAAAGTTCCCTTTTCCCAGCATGACGGTAAGAGTCGGGACCTGGCATCCTGTTGGCATACTGGACTGAGCAGAAAGGAAGGAAAAGGGCAGGCATGTGATAGCTCGTGTGGTTTCAGTCCTATAAGACACTTGAGGGAACTCTGATGAGATTCTCAGAGAAGCTGCCTCCCTCTGGGTTCAATCCCTGGTGAAATAGTAAATAAACCAATAAATAAATAAATAGGTACATACATACATGCATAAATAGGACAGCATCATACTTTGACAGATGTCTCATATCAAGGATGGAATTCCATCATTGGGCTTGAATAGCCACAGAGTTTGATTTTGGAGCACTAATAAAACTACAGGAAGCCACAGAACGCTTACATCCCTCCTTCACAGTCTTGACCTCCAACGAACACCACTCCTCCAGGAAAAGATACGCATGCTAATTGCAGCCGAAACTGCTTTCCCAACAAAGCACAGCAAGTGGCAAGAAATAAAGATCTCACACGCACCTGCTTCCCCAGTTTCAATGTTCTCTTTCCTCCCCTGAGCTCCTTCTTATACCTCACTTTCATAAATAAGGCTGGAGGCAGGGGCATCCAGGCAGGTCCCCAGAGACTGGAGGGGTCACGGGTGACACGCACAGCCCTCTACCTGACCTGGGGTGTGGCGCTGTCTCACTCGCATCATCCTCCCACTGTGTTGTTCAGCATTCTGCTGCCATAGTGAGATCCCTGAGGTCTCTCACACTAGAGAAGAACGGTTGATTTGGGTCTACATTCTGGAGGGCCCGCTGTGATGGAGGCCCCATACTGTGGGCCTGGGGGGAGGCAGTTCCTCGTGGCGGGAGCACATTCTTCAGCAGATCCACTCACCTCAGCAGCTAGAAAGCAGAGAAAAGTAAGAAACCAGGGCCCCACAGTCCCCTTTGCAGGCCACCCCAGTGATATAGGGGCTTCTCACTTAACCCCACATCCTAGAAGTCCCTTCGCTTCCCAGTGGCACTGCCCGGCGACTCAACCTTCAGCACAGAGACCTTTGCAGGACACTTGTCCAACCGTGGCATCCAACCCTGGCCCCCAATGGCTCTGATCCATCTCATTATGCAAAATTCATGGAGCTCACAGCCAAGAACTGCCAGAGTCTTAACCGTTCTGGCCCTGTTCAAAAGTCCAAGTTCAAAGTCTTCTCTGAGACTCCAGGAAACTCAACTGTGAACACCTACAGAACTCAAAAACAAGTTACATACTTCCAAGACGCTGGTGGAACAGGTACAGGTTAAACATTTCTCTTCCAAAGGGGAGGAAAAGTGTTGGGGTAAGGAGTGTTGAGTCTAAAATGAAACTGAGCCCCAGCAGGGCAAACACAGAAGCCCTAAGCTCTGTGTGGTGTCTATGGTTTACTGGGACTGAGGAGGCTCTGCAGGGCTTAGACAGCCTTGCTGCTGGCAGCAGTGCTCCAGAGCTGGCTCCTACCGGCTGTGTCCACATCGTGTTACTGTGACAAAGTACCTAGGAGGGTACTTCATCTTAGAGGAGGATACGCCCAAGTGGCTCATGGTTTCAGGGGCTTCAGTCCATGGTAATCTGCCCCAGGACATCTGGGCTTGCAATTAGGCAGCATCATGATGGAGCCAAGCTGGTCGCCTCAGATGGCTGGGAAGCAAAGGCACAAGAAGAGGAAGAGCTGGGGTCCCAGTGTCCCCTCCAGGGCACATCCTGATGGCCTGACTACCTACAATCACACCCCTCCTCCTAAAGGTTCTGCCCATTCCCAGGAGCTCCAGACCTCTGGGAACCATCAAGACCCAGACTGCAGCACCAGCTCCCCTTGCTCCCTCAGCATCGCAGACCAGCAACCAGAATGGCACTGCCTGGCCTGCCAGGCTTCCCTGGAAAGTCGTGGGGGAAGCCAGCAGAACTCCAGAAGTCCAGCATCTGCCTAGAACCACACTTGCTCTCTTAGAGGAAGCAGTGCTCTGTTTTTAACTTCAGATTTCCACAGGAGGTCATAGTACCACAGTCAGCCTTCTTCAGCCTGCAGGGCAGGAGGAGCTCGACCTGGTCAGAGTGTGTAAGCTGAAGTTAGAATTTGTCATCCAAATCTCTCTGCTGGCCAGGGAAACTGACAGTCTCCCAGCCTGACAATGGGACAGTGACAGTGAGCAGAATTTAGCTCATGTCCGTTACCTCTGGCTGTGCAGACAGCTCTCTCAGAAAATGACCATTCCAGACAAACTGCTGATCTGCCTGCGAAGAAGAGTGAACACAGAGTCAAAGATCTCCTGCCATGCCTTTTGTGTATGTGCTGGGGTAGGATACCTCATTCTATATGTATCCAAGGGAAAAATGAGTTCATTCAGGAAAGTGATCGACACTGACCTGCAGGGAGTACATTTCAAGAGGCCTTGAAACAACGGATAGTAAGGAACTCTACACCACACAGCTATGTTTTCCTGTACATACTCATAGTAGCATTCACTGCATGAATTAGTTTCAGTAAGATACTTCCAATAAGAATTCATAGTAAACTAGGATAATATAGCAATATCCTGTGATAAAAGTTATGGGGCTTGGTCCCTGATAAGAAAAATCTGAGGAGTTCCACGCCAATACGGCCTTGTACAGGAAAAGCTTGAGGGAGGTGAAGGTGGTGGTACACACTGGAAGTCCAGTGTCCAGAGGCTGAGGCAGAATCATCTCCAGAATGAGAAAGCTTGGGCTACGTGGTGAGACCTGGTCTCAAAACAAAAACACTTGATCCTTCCTGTATCTAGAAATGAAAGGACAATAACTACCACCATGAAAACACATAAATGTATAAAACTCACTGCCAGATACATAAATAAGAAATAAAATGGAATCAAACCAAATCACTACAGAAAACCACCAAACTGCAAAGGTTAAAAATAAGACAGAGGGGCTGGGGATTTAGCTCAGCGGCACAGCGCCTGCCTGGCAAGCGCAAGGTCATGAGTTCGATTCCCTGTACTGGAAAAAAAAAAACGAGAAAAAAAAAAAAAGACAGAAAGGAAGGCAAAAGGCCATACAAAAACAGGAAATAATGAACAAATGTGAGGAGTACATCGTTACCTACCAGTAATGGCCCTGATTGTAAACTGATTATATCCGCTGATTAAAAAAGTAAGTGAATGAACTTAATACAACAAATAAGACAATCCTTGGCTGCCCAAGAGATGCACTCTGCCCCTGGGAGGACACGTGTAGACTAAGAGGGAAGGAGGGAGAAAAGACACTCCACAAACAGGAACCAACTGGGAACACCCACCCTCGTGTCAGATAGCACAGCACTGAAATCACAATTTGTAAAAAAGAGACCAAGAAGGTTACCGTATAATCATAAAAGTTTAAACTATTGTGTCAGAAAAGAGCTGACAGACATTCACAAAGCATTTCATTCAACAGCTGCAGAATACACATTCGTCCTCTTGTCTGCAAGTGGCACCTCCTCACTATGGGTAGATTCCCTGTTACAAACTTGAATAAGCAGGGCAGAGCTAGAGGCATCACAATACCGGACTTCAGAACATGCCGCAAAGCTGGGGTTGCTGAAGCAACAGGTACTGGCATAAAAACAGACATGCAGGCCAATAGAAAGAAAAAGATACCCCAGGAATAATACAACCATGTATTTACAGCCAACCTGTTTGCTCCCCACACCCCTTCCCTCTCTGGCACTAGGGATGGAAGCCAGGGCCTTCACACTGAGCTCCATCTCTAGCTCTCTTTCTCTTTTGAGACAGGGTCTTGCTAAGTTGCTACATTGCCCAGGCTGAGCTCAAACTTGCCATTCTCCTGCCTCAGCCTTCGAGATTACTAGGATTCCTGGGGCATGCCCCCATCCTGGCCTACAGCCAGCTTTTCTTCAGCAAAGTTGCCTCCTCTTTCTCCCTTCAATTCCCAGCCACTGTTCCTGCCAGAATGTTCTGCCCTGCCACAGACCCAAAAGCAATAGTGAGTGACTGTGGACTTGAACTGTGACTCAGGATAAACTTTTCCTACCTTCAAGTTCATTAGCTCGAGCAATTGTCACAGCAGTGGGGAGCTGAGTGACACAGCTGTCCCTCAACAACCAAGTAGAACTCGCATGTGGTCAGCAACTGCACCACAAGGTGGGTATCCCTGGGGCTTCAGGGGGCGGGGGGATCGTGGTCAATAGCATTTCACTGTATTCTTTTTTTTTTTTTTGGTACAGGGAATCGAACTCATGACCTTGCCCTTGCCATGCAGGGGCTGTTTTGCTGAGCAATATCCCCGCCCTCATTTTATATTTCAGAATAGCTAGCAGAGAGTTTTGCGTTCCTGATGAGGGGATGGATGAAGTGATCATACATTATTTACATTTATGGAAATATCACCCTGTACTCCACAAACACATACAAGCATGTGCCAATTAAAACCTTAAAATATTTTTCTTTAAAGAAATAACCTAGAAGTAAAAAAGTAGAGAGCATTTTAAAAAACTTCCTCAGGGCTGGGGATAAAGTGGCATAAGCGCCTGCCTGGCAAGCGCAAGGTTGTGAGTTCAATCCCTGGTACCGCAAAACATAAATAAATAAATAAATAAATAAATAAATAAATAAATAAATAAATAAATAAACAAACTTCCTCAAGGTCTCAAAAACAAAGCCAGGGAGTTTGGACTTTATCTCGAGAGGAGCTGGGAGCCGCTGTGCGTGGTTAATGAACACTGGGATCTCAGGGGTGAACGCGTGCTTGAAAGCCGTGTGACCCTCATCTTTGGTGGTGTAAGAATCTGAAGCCCCGAGCAAGTTTCAGGCCCACACTTGGCAACTCTGTCCAGGCTGTGTCCCTCTCCCTCCACCTCTCCCAGAAGTCAGAGGACACCGCACGCTGGCCTTCAGTCCCACAGGGCATGGCGTCCTCATCACCTGGGTACGGTGACAGTCACACGCACAGACAGGGCGGCTCTTCGGGAGCCACTCAGTGGAGCTCAGCTCTCCGCAGTCCCTGCTCCCTGGGGCTCAGACACTGCTGAGAGCTGCGCTGCCTCCCTGCCCAAGGCCCTGGGGGGGCTGGAGCAGCTCCTTGAGGCCCCTGAGACCCAAGTGGGAAATTGTCAGAAATGTCGCGAGCAGGTGGTCACATACAGCCACTGTTCAGAGTTATGTGCTGTAAACTCGCGATCACAGCCACAGGTACTAAGTACTCAGACCCAACATTTGCTAATCAGCTACTAGGCTGTAAGTACTCCCAGGGCTACCGGTGTCTATGCTGCGTGGTGAAAATTCAACATAACAGCTGCTACCCCTGCATGTCACAACACAAGTCCATGTGCAGTGCCATCGCATGGGCGTCTCGGAGTCGCCCACAGGCCAGCATTCACACCTGACACTGGCAGCGTGCAAACTGGAGTTGTTTCTGCAGCGAACAGGTGGCTGAACACCGGCCAGGCACGGTGCTCTCTGGCAGACGCAGTCCTGTCTTTGTGCAATTTCCCAGGGGCTCCAAGAGCAGCCGGGGGTGGGCAGAGGTCCCATAGCCTGGCTGGCATGAGCTCAGGAACAATGCAAGGAGCAGGGCAAAGGTGGCTGGGAGGGAGCGAGGTGGAACTGGCCAAGCATGAGGCCCCAGTCGGGTCCAAGAGGGAGGGACGGGGGACACGGGAGGGACACAGGGAGAGCGGATTCTGGGCTCAGCACACAGAAAAGCAGGGAGAGACACAGGGGCTGCCAGGGGGCGGAAGAGAGACCTGGAGACCATCCTCCGGCGGAGCCGCTGCAGGGGATGGAGCCCCCATCAGCACATCTGGCCTCCCTGGCCAAGAATGAGGAGCTGCAGCCCTGGGGGAGCCAAGGATGCCCTGCTCTGTGCCCCGAGAGGAGGGGAGGAGCAGAGGACATTGGGTCTGGGGCCCAGGAGAAGGCGCGGACGCAGTGGGACCACCCCCTGCAGTTCATATTCACCTGCATCTCCTACGCCGTGGGCCTGGGCAACGTGTGGCGCTTCCCCTACCTGTGCCAGATGTACGGCGGCGGTGAGTACCTGGGGGCAGCCGGGCCTGGCTATGCTGGCACTAGCCAGCCCTGGCGAGTGTCACACCTGAGACCTTAGCCTGGCAGGGACCTTGGGGAACTACAGATTGTAAGACCACAGCCCCTGAGGTCTGACCACACCCTTGCCCCAGGGTAGATTCTGCATTTTTCTCCACAGAGGGTACTTATGCTGCAGGATCTAGGACATTTCTGCCTTGAGGAGATCAAAGAGATGCTCTCATGTTTCTTCTGTGTTTTTTAGCTTGCGTTGAATATGGGATCTGGGGTCCATTTTCAGGTATTTTTGAATAAAATGTAATCACGGGTCAAGTTTCTTTTTGCTGCATCTGCACTGTTCTAACATCATCGTTGACAAAATGATGAACTGGGTGCTCGTTGGGGGTGGGGAGAGGGATGCTCGTCACCGAGGAGCAGGACTGAAGGCCCCACAGTCCCCCTGGGCCTCGGGCCTGTGTCTCTATTTGGCCTGGGCAGCGGACTGGCGGGCAGGCCCTGCCACCGGGCCCAGCCAGCCTTGGTCTCACTGGAGCAGTGCCTGGTGACACCGGTGAAAGTGAAATTATCCTGCGACCTCTGAGGTCTGGATGCTGCTCCACACGTGCTGTGAGAACACAGCTGTGATGGACAGAGATCTCAAGGGAGGGAGCCACAGATGGCCTCCACCTGCGTTGCCACCCAGAGAAGCCGGTGAGATGCCAAGAGAAGAGGGTGCAGGGCAGGAAGGGACGAGGCCAGGAGAGCCCCCAGCAGAGTCCTGGAGGGAGAGGGTGGGTTGCCGAGGCCCCGCCTGGGCACAGGAGGAGCTGGGCGGGGCTGGGATGGTGTGCGGCCCTCACTCTCCCCTGCCCACCAACCCTGCCACTCCCTCCCTGGGCTCTGTCCCAGGCTTGCTACTTCTGAGATCTGTCACCCCAGCGATAACCAAGCGGCTGGGCCAGGCTGTGTCCACGGCTTTGGAAAGGGGCACAGCCTGGTGTCCACCATGGCTCAGCGCACAGTGGCCTGGTCTCGGGGCAACTCTCTGCAGCTGCTCAGGGTGAGGCAAAGGTCCCTGAGTGGTCCAGAGCGCGCCTGACAGCCCACTGGTACAGCCCAGTGCGCATGCGCCGCGGAGGCAGTGAGTAACTGGGCAGGGCTTATGTAAGGACAGGTGTTTCCTTGTTTACCTTCACACCTGAGGAGTCAGCTGGCACTGGACCCACCTGATCCCTGCAGCTGTGGCCTCAGAGTTCTCTTTTCACTTGAGGCCCCACCCTCCTCTCTCACTGCACTTTCCCCAGGTGCCTGCCTTGGTCACAGTCAGTGCTTAGTAAATGGGTATTTCAGACACCACCTCATATGGGTATCATGAGGGCTGTGCACGGACCCCAAGGGTCAAGAGGGGGAGCTAATGCACAGACTCGGGGAGACAGAGCTCAAACTATGCAGGGACTCAGTGGTCCTGGCTCTGAGCAGCTCTTAATTGGTGACACAGCAGATGCAGTGGGGGTTTGGGCAGAGGGACTGGGCCACCAGAGACCTTCAGGAGGGCAATCCAGGAGCTTGAGGTGATGGCTTTGTCTCTCAGGTTGGGAGTTTTGAAAAATTTTGATAACTGACATGTCTCTGTTTTATCCGTGAGTGGGAGGATGTGTGGGTGGATGGACTGACGGATGGATGGATGGATGGATGGATGGGTGATGCATGGATGGGTAGATGAATGGGTGAGTGGGTGGATGCATGGATGGATGCTTGGATGCATGGTGGATGGGAGGATTAGTGGATGAATAGATGGGTGGATACATGAATGGATGGATGGATGAACAGATGCGTGGGTTGTTGGATGCCGGAGGTATGGATTGTGGGTGGATACATGGATTCATGGATGGGTGGTTGAGTGGATTAGCAGATGGGTGGATGATTGGGTGAATGGATGGGTAGAAGGGTAGATAGATGAATGGGTAGATGATAGATACATGTATGAATCCATGCATGGATGGATGCACAGATGGAAAGATGGATGCATATAAGGAGGATGCATGGATGGATGGATGGACCCATGGATGGATGGATGGATAGTAGATGGATGAGAGGAATGACAGAGGGATGGATGTGTAGATAGGTAGGAGACTTGCAGACAAAAGAATGGAGACAGGCAGGAAAAGGGATGAGTGGGAGGTAAAAGGGGGAGTGGACAAGGGGAAAGGCAGGCTGATGGGAGGGTGTTTGCATAGCGGGGCAGCCCAGTATGACCTGTCTGGCAGTGCTGGCCTGACCTCAGCTCTGGGTGCCCACAGGTAGCTTCCTCATCCCCTACTTCATCATGCTCATTGTGGAGGGAATGCCGCTCTTGTACCTGGAGCTGGCGGTGGGGCAGCGCATGCGGCAGGGCAGCATCGGTGCCTGGAGGACCATCAGCCCCTACCTCGGAGGTGTTGGTATGTGGGCCCCCTTCTGTCCCCTCCCACACAGAAACATCATACTGTTCCCCCGGGTGGCACAGGGGTGCGGGTGGGGGTCTAACAGCAAGCACAGGACCCCAGAGAGAGCCAGTGACTGCAGTGACTGCGTGAGCTGATGGCCCAGGAGCTGCCAGCAAACCTGGGCTGAGCAGGGCTGGGACCCGAACCACGGGGAGGCCCCGGGGCACTGACACACCTGGCTTCTCTTCTCTGGGCCTCAGCCTGGGAATCTGTGGAAGGGAAACTGCTGCTCGGGATGGGAGCTGCACTCTGCGCTGTCTGTGAGCCTGCTGGGAGTATAGGCCGCTCGTTGCTCCCTGCTAATGACGGACCGCCTCCCTGTCACTGCACACCTGCTACGTTCAGTGGTGCCCACTGGGTAGACCAGTAAGAGCAGGCGCTCGGTCTCCAGCACAGCAGAGAGCAGAAGCCGAGCACACCTGGTAGCACTGGGCCCTCGTTCACACGGTGCCACCCTAGTCATCCCAGCCCTGCTCCAACCCCAGCCCCCAACTCCTCAGGATGGAGCCTTGTGCCGCGGGAGCCAAAGGGCGAGCAACTGTCCCGCTGGACACAGGGGTGCACATGGCAGCGGCAGTCACAAAGTGCTTCTCTCAGAGGTCTGAGCCCTCGGTGTGCTGCTCACTCACTGGGTGGTCTTGGGTCAGCTCTGTGGGTCAGTGCTCTCCTGCGTGATGTGGGGACAATACTGTGCTGAGGACCACAGGCGTGTGAAGTACTTAGCACGGGAACTGGCAGAAAGATCTCCACAGATGTCATCAGCCCTGTGTCCCATAGATGGGACCGAGGTGAGAGGAGAGACACGGCTCTCACACACAGGCCCGGGGGTGTGGTTATGTTCAGTATGCACATGTGCAGGAGGGTGTGCAGGCGTGTCCCGGGCGTGTGCAGGCGGTGGGCCACCCACTCGTGGTCCCCATCACTGTGCTCTGCTTCTCCTCAGGCATGGCCAGCATGATGGTGTCCTTCTTCCTGTCCCTGTACTACAATGTGGTCAACACCTGGGGCTTCTGGTACCTCTTCCACTCCTTCCAGGTGAGCCCCCGCCTGTGAGAGCCCAAGGGTGTGGAGGTGCAGAGGCAGCCTGGAGGCGGGGAGGCGGTTGAGCTTGATAGCAGCAGGCAGAGCCACGGATGGGGCAACGGCCTCGGGGAAGTCAGCCACCTTATCCACCATGGGACTTCTGAAACAGGGTGGTAGATCTTGTATACCTCAAGCCTATCATGGAGACACTACCTGTGCAAACAGGGCAGGCAAGACAGCTGGTGGCCATCTGTGGAAAAACAGTCCTGGTCCAACATAGAAAAGATCCCTCACATTCCAACTAAGAAGGCTGGTTCTGGTACCAGGGACTCGCCAGCAAGGCCCTAACTCTGCCCATGCGTTTAGACCTCGGCTGCAGCTGTTCTGTGCAGATTGGTCGTGGCCCATCAGATCACTAATACCAGGGTGCTTTGGCTCTGTTACCCATGAAAAATGGGGTTGAATGTAAGAGGCTGTTCACATTTGCTTCACTTAGAACATTTCGTCCAAGAACCTACGCTCGCAGAAGCCAGATACACACAAAACAGATCGACATGGGACTTCCATTGGCAGGGCAGGGTTGTAGCAACCATCTCACCTCCAGTCCTGGTCAGAATTCAGCTTTTCCTCCATAACCCCCATTCAGCACCTCTGTTAAACATGTGGGTATGAGTCAGGTTCACTGGGCATCATCTTAGTCACTTTCTCATCACTGGGACACAATCCCCGACACCCGCAACTCAAAGGAGAGGTTTATCTTGGCTCAGTTTTAGAAGTGTCAGTCTCAGAAACAACACAGTGGAAGGGCCTTGTGGGGAAAAGCTTCTCACTGTTATGGCGGCTAGAAAGCGGAGAGAGAAGAGAGGCGCCAGGGAGGGAGACAGACCCCCAGTGACTTGCCTCCACTCAGGCCTCCCCCTCCTAACAGCACTCCCAGCTGCTGAACTGATTAGTGGATGAATCCCTGATGAATGCAACACCAACAGCATCCAATCAACTCCCAAAAGCCCCACCCATGAAGACATGGCGTTTTGGGGGGCCACTCTAGATCTTAACCATAAAAGACATGCCGTACATCATGTAGACTCCTTTGTTGATGAGTGAGAGAGAACCCAGTTCCAACTTCCTAAAGCCGGGGAGGGTCCTCCCGGCTCCACCCTACAATGCCCAGGGGTCACACTTCTTCCAGCTGAGCTGACTCAGGCTGAAGGCAATCACTAGCGCCAGCTCCTCTCTGGTTCAAGGGCATGGTGGCTGAAGGGTGCAGGCCTCATCTCCCTCTCGATTTCAGATCCAGTATCTGGGGTGAAAACGCCTGCCTATGCCAGCAGTGTGCGCTGGTGAGGTGCTGGCTTGGGGAGCTGGAGGGAGGCTACCTAAAAGGAAGACAGCCCCTGAGATCTGTTAGGGGTGCATATCTGGCTTTCTCTGGTTGGTTAAAAACCAAGTCCTGACTGTTCTGTCTGGCGCTGAAGAAGTTGCTGCTGGAGGTCCTGGGCTGGCTGCTGCAGAGCTCTGGGTCACAGTTCTGCCATCACAGCTGCTGTGCCATCACCCATTCAGTCTTTACCCCACAGCAGAGTTCAGGCATTCCCCAAAGCACCTGCAGGATGGCGAGGAGGGCAGAGGCCTCTGTCAGTGAGCCCTGTATAACCACAATAAAACACCTGTTATGGTTTATGTCTAGCAGTCCCCCCAAAGCCTCATGAGGATATAGGAGGGGCTTTTTCAGAGGTGGCTGGATCTACAGTGTGTGAGTGATTTATAGTGCAATGCTGGGATTACGGGTGTGTGATTACTAAATCAGTCCACTGATCGGCTTGTCACCACCCTGATTCTGGTAGTCTGGATAGGATAAAAGGGGCAGAAAGATGCTGTTTAGGTCCTTGTTGCTTTGCTACCTTTTGCCCACCATGCACTGTTTCTCCTCTGCCATGCCTGCCTTGGAGTCAGCTGACAATGGACTGAAGCCCTACACACTGTGAGCCAAGTAAACCTTTCCCCCTTTCACTTTGGGAGTCGCATATTTTGTCTCACCAACAAGAGAAAAGTCACTAAAACAGCACCAGAGGCAGCGAACTCACCAAGACAAAAAGGTTGTTCAGCTGGTAATTTGGAAGGTTCAGGTGTGACAGATGGACCCATTGGTTTGGCCTCTAGTGAGGGGGAAGAAGACAGCAGGTCACCCCACAAGCAGATGCAGGCACAGATGTGGCATCTCCAACAGGAGAGAGAGAATGTCCCACCCGTGGCAAGGAGCACATATACCCCAAGTGACCCAAGGCCCTTTCACTAGGCCCTGCCACTAAATACCACCCAGCAAGACCCTCACAGCCAGTCCACGGCACATGGACCTCTGGGGAGCACCCCACCTGAAACCACACCACTCACCCCTGCGGCCCCTCCGAGCCCCGGGCACCATCGACCTTCCCCGGCCCTCATCCCCCACCCCACCTCCCTCTCAGCCCTCTGCACAACATCATGCCACCCTGCAGGACCCTCTGCCGTGGTCTGTCTGCCCACTGAATGGAAACCGCACAGGCTACGAGGAGGAGTGTGAGAAGGCCTCGTCCACGCAGTACTTCTGGTACCGGAAGACCCTCAACATCTCGCCGTCCATCCAGGACAGTGGGGCTGTGCAGTGGGAGCCGGCGCTGTGCCTCATCCTGGCCTGGATGATGATGTACCTGTTCACCCTGAGGAACACCGAGACCGTGGGCAAGGTGGGCAGCGCCAGGGGAGGGCTCCACGGCACGGGGTGGCATCCTGCAGAGTGGGGACCCAGAAGATGCTGCTGGAGCAAATCGCCTACCGTGGGAGAGGAGGTGGCGGGAAGCAGCTGCGGTTGTAGCGTTCATTCTTTCATTTCATCATCGGTGCACGCCAACAGGACCTGGGGATGGAGGTGACTCGGGGAGTTGGTGGCTTAGTCAGTTTCAGTCCCTCGCATCCTTTCCCTTCTTCTCCTCCTCTCCCTTGTCCCCTCTTTTTCTCCAGAAATCTACCTTCCAGTTTCCTGTGCTGTCTTCTTGTTTATGTCTGTCTGCCTGTATGTATTTTTTAGGTATCTCAGAGAAGAGAAGACACGCAATATTATAATTTTTCAAGGCTGGCTAATTTCATTCAATGTGATGGCTTCTAATTCCAGAAGTTCCCTGGTGAATGGCATTGTTCCATGTTCCTTTGGGCTGTGTACATTGTCTTTACCCATTCTCGTGTTGGTGGGCACCCAGGCTATCTGCACAGCTTAGTCACTGTGAACCGCATGGCTGTGAACACGGGGTGCATACATGTGGCATCTACAGAATCCATCCCGTAATTTGGCTGGAGCAGGCACAAGGGCACTGTCGCTGGGTCCACTATGTTTCTATGTTTAATCTTTTGAGGCCTCTCCATACTGACTTCCATAGTGGCCGTACAAGTTTCATTCCCCTCAACAATACAGAAGGGAGCCTTCCCTCTAATCCTGGCTGGCATTCATGGTGGTGTTCTTGATGATAGCCATTCTGACTGCAGGGAGGTTAATCACAATATACTTTAAATTTGCATTTCTCTGTCATGGCTAGAGGTGTTGAATACTTTTCATATACCTTTTGGTCATTTGAATTTCTCTTTCTAAGAAATATCTCTCCCGTTCACTTGCTCACTTTTTTCTTGGATTGTTTTATGGGGCTTGAGTTTTAGGTTCCTTGCATGTTCTGGTTGTTGATCCTGTATCCAAAGAGTAGATGCAAAGATTGGCTCCTGTTCAGTATCTTGTCTCTCCTGTAGGTTGTCTCATTTCCTTTGTTTTGCTGAAGCTTTTCAATTTGATGGAATTGTATTTGTTCATTCTGGATATTATTTCCTGTGCTGGGGACTCCTGCTCAGAAAGTCCACGCTTGTGCCTGTGGCTTCAAGCATTTCCCTTGTGTGGTCTTCTAGAAGTTTCAGTGTTTCTAGTTTGTGTTTTGTTTTGTTTTGTTATTTTTTTGAGACAGGGT